AGATATGTAAGTTTTATATAAACTATCTAGATATGTAAGTGTATATAAACTATCCAGATATGTAAGTTTTATATAAACTATCCAGATATGCAAGTTTTATATAAACTATCTAGATATGTAAGTTTTATATAAACTATCTAGTTATGTAAGTTTTATATAAACTATCCAGATATGCAAGTTTTATATAAACTATCTGGATATGTAAGTTTTATATAAACTATCTAGATGTGTTAAGTTTTATATAAACTATCTGGATATGTAAGTTTTATATAAACTATCCAGATATGTAAGTTTTATATAAACTATCTGATATGTAAGTTTATATAAACTATCTAGATATGTAAGTGTGAATGTCTCTCTCTCTTTCTGTGGGTCTGTTCCTTACACACGACCACATCTTTAAAGCTACAAAATCCAAACTTGGGGTGCAGATACAACTTTGTGCGAGAAATAACATGGGCTATGTGGCCGCAAATTGAGGCCAAAATGACCAATTGACCAAAATGACAGGACGACCAATTGGTCTCAAATTTGAAAGTCTGGATTTTTTTTTGGTAATGTGTGACCAAGATGACTATTATTAAAGTTTCTTCTCTGTGTGAGGACTTTTTCTAATCATTCTATCCATGATCAATTATGTGTTGAAATAATTTAAAAAACTTCGTGGACCCTTCATTTATGCTCTTCTCCCCTCCCCCTCTTTCTTCTACATATACTTGACTACTTTCTAACTCCACTTAACTGAAACAGGCTGGTTCTATCTCTCGAACATGCGCGCTAACTCCCTCAACAAAATAGGCTTGCGTGTACTCGCAAGAAACATCTATAGGATGACTTTACAAATACGTTTGGTATCGGCAAGTTTTCATTTATCAAACGAGAAGAGAATAACAACAACTCTTTATTAAATTGAGCGATAATAAAGTCAGAATACGCTGCAAACGACACTTGACGACACATCAGAAATCAGGACCCCAAAATTGTAGGGTATTTCGTTTTGGAAACTTGAAATGTCATGCAAACAAAGCACATGCAAGAAGCAGGAGCAATGTACACGGTTTTGCTTTGATTGAAATAGCTTTAGCAATTTTGTATTTTTTTTTTTCGGACATTGTTGTTTTTATTGATTTTAATCAAAATATTTGGTTAGGTAAGAAAAACATTTTGATTTCTTTTGCACAAAATCACGATTAATATAGTTGATTTAATCAAAACAACCCGGGATATTTAAATCCATTTTCATCCGAGCAATGCCGAGTACTCTGTTAGTTGCGAATATGCAAGTAAGTCCTTTCTGCTTTCTGAAGAATACAAATTTCAGTACAATACCTTACTTCTTGAGATAGACTTCTTTCAGGGGGTTTTTGGTACAATACCTTACTTCTTGAGATACACTTCTTTCAGGAGGTTTTGGGTACAATAACTTACTTCTTGAGATACACTTCTTTCAGGGGTTTTTTTGGTACAATACCTTACTACTTTAGATACACTTCTTTCAGGGGTTTCAGGTACAATACCTTACTAATTTAGATACACTTCTTTCAGGGGGTTTTGGTACAATACCTTACTTCTTGAGATACACTTCTTTCAGGAGGTTTTGGGTACAATAACTTACTACTTTAAATAAACTTCTTTCAGGAGGTTTTGGGTACAATACCTTTCTTTTTGAGATACACTTCTTTCAGGGGGTTTTGGGTACAATACCTTACTACTTTAGATACACTTCTTTCAGGGGGTTTTGGGTACAATACCTTTCTTTTTGAGATACACTTCTTTCAGGGGGTTTTTGGTACAATACCTTACTACTTTAGATACACTTCTTTCAGGGGGTTTTGGTACAATACCTTACTACTTTAGATACACTTCTTTCAGGGGGTTTTGGTACAATACCTTACTTCTTGAGATACACTTCTTTCAGGAGGTTTTGGGTACAATACCTTACTACTTTAGATACACTTCTTTCAGGGGTTTCAGGTACAATACCTTACTTCTTGAGATACACTTCTTTCAGGGGTTTCAGGTACAATAACTTACTACTTTAGATACACTTCTTTCAGGAGGTTTTTGGTACAATACCTTTCTTTTTGAGATACACTTCTTTCAGGGGGTTTTTGGCTTTTGAAATGTCAATGTTGATCAGGATGTTGTGAGTCTGAAAAAATAAAAATAGCCAGAAGTGGATCAGGAAAATATTTCTTGGTCGAACAGAATCATAACATAATATACTATGTTGTTAAAAACATAACATAACGGAAGGACTATTTGTCATTAGTAATATAATATTAATTAGTGACATAAAGGAAGGACTACTCGTCATTAGTAATATAATATAAATTAGTGACATAACGGAAGGACTACTCGTCATTAGTAATATAATATAAATTAGTGACATAACGGAAGGACTACTAGTCATTAGTAATATAACAGTAATCAGAGGCATAACGGAAGGACTACTCGTCCTTAGTAATATAATATAAATTAGTGACATAACGGAAGGACTACTGGTCACTAACAATATAATATACATTAGAGACATAACGGAAGGACTACTCGTCATTAGTAATATAAATGAGTGACATAACGGAAGGATTATTGGTCACTAATAATATAATATACATTAGAGACATAACGGAAGGACTACTCGTCATTAGTAATATAAATGAGTGACATAACGGAAGGATTATTGGTCACTAATAATATAATATACATTAGAGACATAACGGAAGGACTACTCGTCATTAGTAATATAAATGAGTGACATAACGGAAGGATTATTGGTCACTAATAATATAATATACATTAGTGACATAACGGAAGGGCTACTAGTCATTCGTAATATAATGTACATTAGTGACATAACGGAAGGACTACTAGTCATTAGTAATATAAATGAATGACATAACGGAAGGACTACTCTTCATTAGTAATATAACAGAAGGACTACTCTTCATTAGTAATATAATATAAATTAGTAACATAACGGAAGCACTACTCGTCATTAGTAATATAACAGTAAACAGAGGCATAACGGAAGGACTATTTGTCATTAGTAATATAATGTACATTAGTGACATAACGGAAGGACTACTCGTCCTTAGTAATATAATATAAATTAGTAACATAACGGAAGCACTACTCGTCATTAGTAATATAACAGTAAACAGAGGCATAACGGAAGGACTATTAGTCATTAGTAATATAATGTACATTAGTAACATAACGGAAGGACTACTCGTCATTAGTAATATAAAATAAAAAATAGTGACATAACGGAAGAACTACTTGTCATTAGTAATATAATGTACAATAGTGACATAACGGAAGGACTACTTGTCATTAGTAATATAATGTACATTAGTGACATAACGGAAGGACTACTCGTCATTAGTAATATAACAGTAAACAGAGGCATAACGGAAGGAATACTAGTCATTAGTAATATAATGTACATTAGTGACATAACGGAAGGACTACTTGTCATTAGTAATATAATGTACATTAGTGACATAACGGAAGGACTACTAGTCATTAATAATATAATATAAATGAGTGACAAAACGGAAGGACTACTTGTCATTAGTAATGTAACAGTAAACAGAGGCATAACGGAAGGACTACTAGTCATTAGTAATATAATATCAATTAGTGACATAACGGAAGGACTACTAGTCATTAGTAATATAATATAAATGAGTGACAAAACGGAAGGACTACTTGTCATTAGTAATATAACAGTAAACAGAGGTATAACGGAAGGACTATTAGTCATTAGTAATATAACAGTAAACAGAGGCATAACGGAAGGACTACTAGTCATTAGTAATATAATGTACATTAGTGACATAACGGAAGGAGTACTCGTCATTAGTAATATAATATAAATTAGTGACATAACGGAAGGACTACTTGTCATTAGTAATATAACAGTAAACAGAGGCATAACGGAAGGACTATTTGTCATTAGTAATATAATGTACATTAGTGACATAACGGAAGGACTACTTGTCATTAGTAATATAATGTACATTAGTGACATAACGGAAGGACTACTAGTCATTAGTAATATAATATAAATTAGTAACATGACGGAAGGACTACTCGTCATTAGTAATATAATATAAATGAGTCATAACGGAAAGACTACTAGTCATTAGTAATATGATATAAATTAGTGACATAACAGAAGGACTACTAGTCCTTAGTAATATAATGTACATTAGTGACATAACAGAAGGACTACTAGTCCTTAGTAATATAATGTACATTAGTGACATAACAGAAGGACTACTAGGACGTTATGTCACTAATGTCACTAATTTATATTATATTACTAATGACGAGTAGTCCTTATATCGGAAGGACTACTCGTCATTAGTAATATAATATAAATTAGTGGCATAACGGAAGGACTACTCGTCTTTAGTAATATAACAGTAATCAGAGGCATAACGAAAGGACTACTCGTCCTTAGTAATATGATATAAATTTGCGACATAACGGAAGGACTACTTGTCATTAGTAATATAATATAAATGAGTGACATAACGGAAGGACTAATAGTCATTAGTAATATAATGTACATTAGTGACATAACGGAAGGACTACTAGTCCTTAGTAATATAATGTACATTAGTGACATAACGGAAGGACTACTTATCATTAGTAATATAATATAAATGAGTGACATAACGGAAGGACTACTCGTCATTAGTAATATAATGTACATTAGTGACATAACGGAACGACTACTAGTCATTAGTAATATAATATAAATTAGTGACATAACGGAAGGACTACTAGTCATTAGTAATATAATATAAATTAGTGACATAACGGAAGTATTACTTGTCATTAGTAATATAATATAAATTAGTGACATAACGGAACGACTACTAGTCATTAGTATTATAATGTACATTAGTGACATAACGGAAGGACTACTAGTCCGTTATGTCACTAATGTACATTATATTACTAACTAGTAGTCCTTCTGTTATGTCACTAATGTACATTATATTACTAAGGACTAGTAGTCCTTCTGTTATGTCACTAATGTACATTATATTACTAAGGACTAGTAGTCCTTCTGTTATGTCACTAATGTACATTATATTACTAAGGAGGAAGGACTACTAGTCCTTAGTAATATAATATAAATTAGTGACATAACGGAAGGACTACTCGTCATTAGTAATATAATGTACATTAGTGACATAACGGAAGGACTACTAGTCATTAGTAATATAATATAAATTAGTGACATAACGGAAGGACTACTTGTTATTAGTAATATAATATAAATGGGTGACATAACGGAAGGACTACTCGTTATGTCACTAATGTACATTATATTACTAATGACTAGTAGTCCTTCTGTTATGTCACTAATGTACATTATATTACTAAGGACTAGTAAGTAGTACTTCCGTTATGTCACTAATGTACATTATATTACTAAGGACTAGTAAGTAGTACTTCCGTAATGTCACTAATGTACATTATATTACTAATGACAAGTAGTCCTTCCGTTATGTCACTAATGTACAATATATTACTAATGACTAGTAAGTAGTCCTTTCGTTATGTCACTAATGTACATTATATTACTAATGACAAGTAGTCCTTCCGTTATGTCACTAATGTACATTATATTACTAATGACGGAAGGACTACTAGTCATTAGTAATATAATATAAATTAGTGACATAACGGAAGGACTACTTGTCATTAGTAATATAATGTACATTAGTGACATAACGAAAGGACTACTCGTCATTAGTAATATAATGTACATTAGTGACATAACGGAAGGACTACTAGTCATTAGTAATATAATGTACATTAGTGACATAACGGAAGGACTACTAGTCATTAGTAATATAATGTAGATTAATGACATAACGGAAGGACTACTAGTCCTTAGTAATATAATGCACATTAGTGACATAACGGAAGGACTACTTACTAGTCCTTAGTAATATAATATAAATTAGTAACATAACGGAAGGACTACTTGTCATTAGTAATATAATGTACATTAGTGACATAACGGAAGGACTACTTGTCATTAGTAATATAATGTACATTAGTGACATAACGGAAGGACTACTAGTCCTTAGTAATATAATATAAATTACTGACATAACGGAAGGACTACATCTTTTGATTAAGGTAATTCTTACCAGTAAGGACCTTAAGGACGGACGAAAGAAATCTGTTTCTTGTTTTTGTCCGATGAACCATTTTTTAATCCGTACTTGAAAGGGGGCGCTGGCTTCGTGCTCTTCTGTTCGAAATAAATAAAGTTGTTGTTGAATAAAAGTAAAGTGAAATTCTATAAAAATGTGTTCAGTTATTTTATGTTCTAACTGGTAAATATAAATAAGTAAATGATGATCATTATGAGGGAAAATTTTAAGAGATGTTATTAACACTAATTATATAGTCAAAAATAACTTAGTTTACTTGGATAATTACCTGAAATGAATCGAATCTATTCAGAATTCAAGATACATTTAGTGTTATAAAATGTTTTAGTTTTATCTATAATGTTCACTGACCACTACATCTTATTTATCTGATGGTCAACTAAATCCGCAGTCAGTGGTTCATATGGCCATGATGGAGAAAGTTCTGGTTGGAATTTGGAGTTTTTCACACACACACAACCATGTATATGTATATAAAAAAACAGTTGACCTTTACTACAAATGATATGCCAAGCCATGTTCGTGACATCAAAGCCGAACGATATTCCAGCATCGTCAGAAGTGTAATTCAATGCTGACGTAGTGTTTTAGTAGACGTGTAACTCCGTCAGTTACTAGCAGATGTAAACGTGGGATGGGATGCGTGGGAGGTTTATGAATGTTTTTATTATTATTATTCGAAACATGCCAGTGACAACATAAAGATTAAAAGTACACAAGAATAAAATTATTCATGTCCTCTGGTTTTTAATTATTCAAGTAACATTTTATTTTGTATTTATCAAAAAGTAATAAGTAACATCTGACTTAAAAACTTCTCACTTATTACAAGTGTGTCTCTCTTGAAACCACTCAAACATAAGCGTGTCTCTCTTAAAAATCCCTCAAACATAAGTGTGCTTATCTTGAAATCCCTCAAACATAAGTGTGTCTCTCTTGAAATCCCTCAAACATAAGTGTGCCTCTCTTGAAACCCCTTAAACATAAGTGTGTCTCTCTTGAAATCCCTCAAACATAAGTATGCCTATCTTGAAATCCCTCAAACATAAGTGTGTCTATCTTGAAATCCCTCAAACATAAGTGTGTCTCTCTTGAAATCCCTCAAACATAAGTGTGCTTATCTTGAAATCCCTCAAACATAAGTGTGCTTATCTTGAAATCCCTCAAAC